TACTGGAAGTAAAACATTTCAAACATTTTTTGTGTCTAGAAATACACATGTCTACTAAATACTCCCAGTTCTTACTGGCTCACCTGGACTTTTGACAATGGTTTTGGCATATCCTTAGGTGAAGAAGTGAGTTTTAGCAGTAAAAAACAGCCTTTTCCTCCCATTTGTAACAGAATCAGTAACAACCCTTCTAGCTGCCGGACCCCTCTTTGCTTTTTTTTTTCTAAAGGTTAATTGAGATGTTTCACAGCAGTAGTTTGTCAGTCCTTAGCCTGCATTTTTGTTTTCAGCAACACTTTCCTTCATGGTTTGTTGTGACTGACTGATGCTGTTTTATTGTGGGCTTGAATGATCTTTGAAACACTGGTCTTCACCCCACCAACAGCTGCTTCAATATCTATAACAGTCATTAAAATACTCTCTTTATGAGCTGTACCTTTTGCCTGTAGATCCTACCATTCCCCTCAAGCTGTTGTCTTATGTCTTTCCTCCCTTTCACCAAGCAATCTTCTAAACTCACTGCTTCCCCTTGTCTTCTCTCACTCCTCAGACCTTTGCAATCGTCTGCACCAAGCAGTGTTCTAAACTCACTGCTTCCCCTTGTCTTTTCTCACTCCTCAGACCTTTGCAATCGTCTTCACCAAGCAGTCTTCTAAACTCACTGCTTCCCCTTGACTTCTCTCACTCCTCAGACCTTTGTAATCATCACTTAATTGAAACTTCTCTCTCCAGTTACCAGTGATGTCTTAATCACCAAATCTGATGATTTTTTTAGATCCTTGTCTTTTTTTTTTTTGGTGAGGCATTTGGGGTTAAGTGATTTGCCCAGAGTCACACAGCTAGTAAGTGTTATGGGTCTGAGGCCAGATTTGAACTCAGGTCCTTCTGACACCAGGGCTGGTGCCCTATCCGCTGTGCCACTAGCTGTCCCTGATCCTTGTCCTTGTTAACCTATCTGCTGCATTTGTCATTTCTGACCATCCCCCACCTCCTGAAAACTCCCTTTTCTAGGTTTTTGTAACACTACGATTTCCTGGTTCTCCTACCTGTCTAACCTCCCATTTTCTGTTTCTTCGTTATTGAGATCATGCCTCCTAAATATGGGTACATTCCCCAAGACACTGTTGAAGACCTTCTCATTTTCTGTGTCTGTACTTTTAAGTGACCTCATCAGTTGCAGTGGGTTCATCTGTCATCTCTATGCTGATGACTCCCCTATCTGTTTATCCACAGCTCTAGTCTCTCCCCTGAGCTTCAGTCCTACATCACCAATTACTACTGGAAATTTCAAACTGGATGTCCCAGGAACATCTCAAACTCAGCATTTCTAGAACAGAACTCATTGTATTTCCTCCAAAACCTATCCCTCTTCCAGACTTCCCTATTTCTCCTGAAGGCACTACCATTCTTCCGGTTTCTCCGATTTTCAGCTTGATGTTATCCTTAACTCCTCAGTCTCTCTCACCCCACATATCTAGTCAGTTACCAAATCTTGCTGTCTCTACTTTTATACAAATCTCTTGCATCCAACCTCTTTTCTTCCTTTACACAGCTACCACCTTACTTCAGGCCCTCATCACTTCCTGCCTGGGGGGCTATTGTCATGGCAGTGTATTTCATTCTTTTGCTTCAAGTCCCTGCCTACTTCATTCTACCTTCCATGTTGCTGCCAAAGTGATTTTCCTGAAGTGCAGATCTGGCTATGTCCTATCCTTATTCAGTAAATCCAAGTAGTCCCCTGTTGCTTCTGGAATCAACAATAAACTGCTCTATTTGGCTTTCAGATCCCCTCACAATCCAATCCCCTAACCTATTTTTCTAGACTCATTGTATATTACTCTACCTCCCACACTTTGTTGTTCAACCAAACTGGCCTTCACTCCATTCTTCACACAGATATTCCATCTCCTTTTGTCTTCTTGACTTTTCAATGACTATCCCCCACACCTAGAATGTAATCTGTCCTTTCCTCTGCCTTACAGGATCCCTCCCTTCCTTTTGGATATAGTCTAAGAATCACCTTCTACATGAACTTTTCCTGATCTTAACTGCTAATGCCCTCCCTCTTAAATGACTTGATATTCACCTATTTCGTATTTGTTTTCACATTTGTTCTGTATATGGCTATATCGTTGTTGTCTCCTTTGTTAGAATGTAAAGCTATTTTCAGGTAGGGATTATTTCATTTATTATAGCACAGTGCCTAGTATATAGTAGGCCCCTAACAAATATTTGATTGATTAGTTGAGTAATATGCATTCTTAGTAACACAACAAAATAGAGTAATGAGACTCAACTGACACAGACAGAACTAAAGGTAAGAAACCAGTCCATCCAGTTTCATCTGGGCAAGGTCAACAGTTCTGTGTCAGAACCTGACTTGCAAGTACGTAGTCTCTTAATATCACCTCACTTTTCTTGGGTTTCTTTTACTGTTAACCATTTTATTCGTTTCTTACTCTGCATCTGTTTTCTCTTGGTAGAGAAATGAGAAGCAAAATAAGAGTAGACTAGTTCTCTTTTTTGCTCTCTATTTTCATTCATTTTGAGAACTACTTCTTTTCTAATCTTCCTCTTGTCCACAGTATAGCTTCTTTGCTCTTCTTAGTGTTTATTGCCAGCCTCGGCTCATTATTTCCTTCTCTCAGTCCCATCTTTCTAGTCCTTTCTATAACATTTGACACTATTGACCTTTCATTCTCTACTTCAGGTTACTTAACCCTGCTCCTTCAGTTCTCTTTCTACCCATGTGGCTGCTCTGCATTTTCCTTTGCTGGATGACTCACAATCCAGATATCAAAGACCAGTCTCTCTTCTGGACTTGAGTCCCCCATCACCAACTGTCCATTGGATTTTTTGAACAATATCCCATAGGTGTTGCAAACTTATGCCGCAAATCATCTTTTCCCCAAAACCCACCCTACTTCCAAACTTCTCTAATTCTGTTGAGGGTAGCACCATTCTTCTCTTATGAACCTTGGTTTACAACCTCAGAATCATCTTTGATTGCTCATTTTCCTTAATACTGTATATCTAATCAAGTTGCCAAGTCTTGTCAGTTCTACCTCTATGGTATCTTACCTCTACTCCCATGGCCATGAACCTAGGTCAAGCCACATCATCTCTGACCTAGATTCTGCAATAGCCTTCTAATTGGTCTCTCTCTCATCTGTCCTCCCCACAGTTTCTAAAGAGATTCCTAAAGCTCAGATCTTAACCATGACACTGTCCTGTTCGGTAAGTTCAATAACTCCCTGTTAATCTTTAAGATCAAATGAAAACTTTTTGACAGGAGGGTGGGGAGGGCAGATTTAAAGACTTTCATAATGGATCTAACTTCCTTTACAGGCTTATTATACATTATTCCCCTTCAAGCATTCTTCTTTCCAGCCCAACTGGCTTTCTTGTGGTTCTTAACACAACATTCAAAGAACCATAGAATTTTAGAATTGGAAGGGTTTTCAGTAGATGTCTGATCCAACTCATATCTGAAAAGGATCTCAAATACAGCTTGTCTGATGAGTAGTCATCCAGCTTCTGCTCAAACACTTTGCAGATGAGGAGAACCTACACCTGTTCAGGCAGCCCCTTCCGATTCTGGCCAGCTATCAAAAGAGGCACTGTGAGAAAGTGAACAGAATGCTGGACTGGTTGATCTCATGATCCTGTAATCTGGATTTGCCCTCCAGCTCTGCTTGTGACATTGGGCACATCACTGGACCCCTTCAGACCTCAATTGTTCATCCATAAAATTAAAGGTTTGGGCCAGATGACTTCTAAGTTTCCTTTCAGCTCTGAATAATCCTATGGTCTGTCTCTGTGCTGGTCCTCATGCTTTTGGCAAAGAAAGTTAGAGAGTTCCAGGAGTTCCAGCAGAGACCTGAGTAATGGAAGTGTCATGTTCCTTTTCACTATATCAGACCTCTCTTCGTTTTGTAATTTGTTGCTGAGTTCCTCTTCTATTTCTTCCTTCTGATCATTAGTCTTTAGGATATACTCAAGACTTCTGTTTCTGCCTCAATTGGTCCCTGATGCTCTCCACTGTGCTTCCCTTATTTATATTCCTGGATTTCCTCACAGGAGCACACCATCTTAATAGTCAATGCTATTCTGCCTTCCCTTTAAATCTATTCTCAACCATATTCCAGTCAGGCATCCAATCCTGTATTAGGAGCTTGTATTAGGAGCTCTAGTTTACCTTGTTTATTATCACTAAATTGGGCATTTTTGTATAGACATTGGGAGCCATGGGTTTCACTGCTGCCTTTTTCCCCCCTGATAGTGTCTCCTGTACATGACTGGTTCTTTCTACTGGTATTTTTTTTCCTCTGTGGTACCTGTTATTTTTTCTGGCATCTGATTTGACAACTATTTCTAGACAGTTTTCTAGTTTCCCTTTCTTTTTCAGTTTAATTCTTTCTTGTCCAAAAATTGAAGGGTGCTAGTGACATGTGTGTATTTACTGACTTTTGTTACATACATTTCATCCCTGGCCAAGAGCTTTTCATGATCCAAGAATACAAATTCTATACTCAGGCACTATCTCTACCAGCTGCTTACTTCCCAGATGTTTTTCTTTCTCTTGTGAAGCCCTTCTCTTCAGTCAGTAGCAGTGTTAAAAAAAAAATACCTGCCATGCTCCCTAGTCTTTGATTTCTTGCCTAGAAAATCTCTAGCAATGTTTTCTAGGCTCATTCTGGCAATATTACTTGTCCCCATGTAAATCAACAAGAATGAGTATGCATGTCAGTTTTGATGAGTCTTAGGATGTTCTCCATCAGATTTCAGATAATGTGCATTCTTAGGGCAGAATCCAGTCTTTTGTGTTGTTCATGTCAGGCTGACAAATAACTGCCTTGATACTTCACAGCACGAAGTCACCTACCAACTACTCTTATGTGATTCACTTGACCATTACTAGATTACCTTTTCCTTGGTGACATCTATCAATCCACATCAACCTTCCTTGGAACACAAGAAACTGGTTTTTTGACCAAAAGTTTACTTTTATTTTTTGTGGGAAGAGCAGCATGCCAGTGATAAAGCTGCACAGTAATTATTCTTCCCTTTCTTTTCTTTAGTACATTCTTCCACCTCACAATTTCCTGACCCTTGTTGGGATGTCCCTCTACTTCTTCATGTTCTTTTTTGTTTGTTCTTGCTTTGAAGTGCTTCTTGCTTGCTTTCAAAGAACTTCTTCATCTAGAAAGCAGAAATGTCTCTTTAGATCTTTTAGCTTTTCTTCTACTAGGGAGATCAGCCTCTGCTTTGTCCATGCATAGCTGTTGTCACTGGCAGAAAGACAAACATAATTCACTTGATCTCTGCAAAATTCCACTTGAAGTCAACACATGTTGACTATAGAGCAAGACCTATTGAAAGCAAAACTGTCTCTGTCTTCCATCTTGTTGATACCTGTCATAACGAACTTTTATATTAAATTGCTGAGATAGAGAGGGTGTTTGCCATGCCTTTTTTGCTGATCTTAGAGTTCAGCTACCCCTAGTATTTGCAATTAAAGTTGTAGATTACCTAAGATGCAGTAGAAAGATGCATGTTGTATATTAACTGTGTATTGCCAACAATGAATTTCACGAAAGAAATGACCTAAAAGATGTCATCAAGTCTTTTATGACTAGTAAAAAGTGAGTAAATCTTGTAATAAGAGCAACAAATAATAGATGAGCAGCCCTCGTGGTACAATGGGTATAAAACTTTGAAACTATAAAGTATTTTAAAAAAACATAAAGACCCTTATTGTGTTGGCCATATATTCTTTTTTTTAAAAAAAACACCATATTTTTATATTATATTAGTCATGTTGTGAAAGAAGAAACAGAACAAAAGAAAAAAACTATTAAAAATAAAGAAAGTGAAAATAGTATGCTTTGATCTGTATTTAGACTCCATCAGTTCTTTCTCTGTATGTGAATAACCTTTTCCATTATGAGTCTTTTGGAATTGTCCTGGATCATTGTATTGCTGAGCCAAGAGCTAAGTCAATCATATTTGATCATCATGTTCTCCTGGTTCTGCTCACTTCACTTTGTGTCAGTTTATGTAAGTCTTTCCAGGTTTTTCTGAAATCCACCAGTTCATCTTTTCTTATAGCACAATAGTATTCTATTACATTCATATACTACATCTTGTTCAGCCATTCCCCAGGTGATGGGTATCACTTCAGTTTCCAATTCTTTTTTTGCTATATATTCTTTAGAATACTTATGGAAGAATATGAACAGAAATTGCATAAGGTGAGAAGGTATAGATCATGATCTACACTAGCAGAAGGAATATCCAAGGTGGTATTTAACTACCAGGTATGTTGCTGGTCACTTGCCTAATCCTGTTCAATAATAAGGACAAGGCACTGGCAATACCATATACTCACTCTGGTGTCATGTATGCCATCTAAACAACAAAGGGCACTCAGGAAAAATATTACATTCTCTGTAAGTATCAATCAATCAAAATTTATCTAGCACTTACTCTGTATCAGGTATTGATTATACCAGGTGTTGGAGCTAAAATACAAAAGCAAGACAATTCTCAGAGAGTGTGATACTGACTTGCTGCTCTACAGATGTCTTTTATGTGAATTTATCTAATGAGTCTTCTGGCTTAGCCCCCACCCGTTAGGAGAACTCCACTATTTCTTTTGTCCAGTGTTTCCAGTTAATCATGCTAGCATAGCATAATAGATTCAGTCATACATGCTAGCTACCTATACTGGCCTGCTTGTTATTTTTGTATATTATACACTATCTCCTGTCCTCCTACCTTTGTACGGGCTGTCCTCCATGCCTGAAGAGCTCTCTTCCCTCACTTCTACTGTATAGAATACTTGGCTTCTTTTAAGACTCAGCGTATAAATTACCTTTTTTGGAGGCCTTTCCTAGTTTCCCTGGTTGCTAGAGCCTTCCTCTTTAAGATTACCTTCCGCATATTCTCTGTGTATTTTGTGTTTATTTCTGTGTTGCTTCCCCCATTAGAATAAAAATCTCTTGAGGGCAAAGACTGTTTTTGCCTTTTTTTGTGTCCCTGCTGCTTAGCAGAGTGCCTGGCACATAGTAAGCCCCTAATAAATACTTGTTGATTGATTGATTGATTTTACAGTTCTTTACTCATACCATAGAAGCAAAAGTAATAAAAATAACTACATTAAAACAAGGAATTTCAGAAATATAGTTCAGGTTCTTAGGTTCATATTTCTCCATCAGCCCTTCAGGTCCAGACCTAGCAGGAATTCTTAATACTGTTCCACTAATGAGGTCAGTAGAGGGAATTTACTATCTGGGACACTGATCCATCACTTTTCCTCACTTATTACTCTAATTGGTTGGGACCATCAGTCTTGTCCTACATTTTCCTCTGAGAATGACTCACTCATCAGTGGACTTGTTTATCACTGCTAAATGGTGAAATGAACTGGAATGGATTCAGTAGCAGACCTATACATGGAGAGAGATTTTTAGGCTCAAGAGCAGACCCAGGCATGGAGAATCATTCCTCCCTCAACTGCTGCTCCTCTTTTATCCTTTAATCTTCTGCTTTTTCAGGTTTTGTGCTGATTCCTAGTTCACTTTCCAAATCTTGGTTAATTCCTTGCTCTTCTTCCTCACTTTGTTTGTTTGTTTGTTTTTGTTGTAAGCTTTGTGGCCGTGCTTTAGACGTTCTGTGGGAGTGGACCAGAGACCTGGGTCCATGATTCAGTTTTTTCTGATATTTGAAATATTTGAAATGAATCCTGATATTTGAATGTTAAAAAATATAAAAAGAGGAAAAAGAAAAATCCTAGGTTATTGTTGTTAAAAAGTAACCAATTTGTGTGCCTCTGAGTTTTTCTTATTAAACTTTCCTTAGCTGTCTTATCTAATAAAATAGTTTGTATGCAAAATAAGAAAAGTTTTCACTAAACTTTATTCTTGGAGGTAAAAAGTTATGCCTTACATAACATTAAATTTACGTCCAAGGGGTAGTCTTCAATAGGTTGGGAATTTTAAAAAGAAAAATGGTTTTACTTTTAAATTATGGTATATTGTTGTAGATTCAACCTATATCTCAGAGGAGCAAATAGAATTTTTAGAACAGTGCTCATATTGACTTGCTTGCCTTAAAAAAAAACAACAAAGATTTATTGTCTTTCAAGATAAGTATTGACTAAATATTGACTTAGAGTTGTCAATTCATTGTTTGCCTAGGAGACCAGAAACTCCTGAAATTTAGCTTTAGTTGATGTCTATTTATCATTTATTAATTTATTATAATCTTAAAGCACTAATCCATAAGATTAAGCTAGTGTAAACATAAGTGAGTTTATCATGAGGCAAAGAAAACATTCTTCTGTTCATATTTTAAGTAATACTTGTGTCAGAAGTCATTTTGCCCAATTTTTATTTATTCTAAATATAGAACATGTATTTATTGGTGTGATATAGACCACTGGAAAACTTATTATTTAAAATAATATGTAGACATTTAGTACTATAGTGAATAACCTAAGTATTCAAACTGTTTCTTAAACTTCAAAGCCTACCAATGGGAAGATCATGTTTTTCAAGGCTTTTTATCTTCTTTAAGTCAATACTTTGTCCCTACTATTAATTTGGCTTAAACTACTTTGATGTAATGCTATTCCCACAGCCTTTCTTCCTTTTTGCTCCTCTCCATTTCTTGTTTGTCAACCTGTTTCCTAGTTTGGGGGCTTTATATAAAATTAATTATTTATTTTAATTTAGCTATTTTGTTCCCTCTTTATTCCTTTTTTTCTTCCTCTCAGTTAAGTAATTAGTTCAAAATCACTCTTTCCCTCTTTTGTTAATTTCTACCTGTGCCTTTTTCTTTTTCCTTTTTTTATGAATTTATTTATTTTTTACTTTTCAACATTCACTTCCATAAGATTTCAAGTTCCAAATTTTCTCCCCATCTGTCTCTTCCCCCCACTCCAAGAAGGTGTGTAATTTGATATAGGTGCACTTATATATTCCTATTAAACCTATTTTCACATTAGTCATGTTGTAAAGAAGAATTAGAAACAATGGGAGAAGCCACGAGAAAGAAGAAACAAAAGAAAAGAGAGAGAGTAAATAATATGCTTTGATCTGCATTCAGACTCCCCAGTTATTTTTCTGGATGTGGAGAGCATTTTTCAACATGAGTCTTTTGGAGTTGTCTCATATCCTTGCATTGCTAAGAAGAGCCAAGTCTATGAAAGTCAGTCATTGCACCATGTGGCTCTTACTGTGTACAGTGTTCTCCCGGTTCTACTCACTTCATCAGTTCATATGCGTCTTTCCAAGTTTTTCTGAGGTCTGTCTGCTCATCATTTCTTATACCACAATACTATTCTATTACATTCATAAACCACAACTCGTTCCGCCTTTCCCCAACTGATAGGTATCCCCTCAATTTCAGTTCTTTGCCACCACAAAAAGAGCTGTTTGCCTGTGCCTTTTTCTAAGAAAAACTTCTTTGCTTTGTCTTCTGTATTAATTTTCATTCCTTTCTATTCTCTGATTCATGGTTTGTGTCCTACTTGTTCCTTTTTTAATCACCTTGTGTTTCTCGTGGACTTAAGGCCTTGGAAGCATTGAGTTTGAGTTCCCTATTCTCACCAATTTCTGTGTAGATCTTTTGTAGATCTTTCCCCCCCCATCTCCTCTTTTCTGTTGTGCTTTACTCTTAGAAGTATAAATTTGTGAGGGGAGTAATCAGTAAGTATTTAAGGGCTAGATACTGGAGTTGAAAGTGTAATTCCTGTTCTTAAGGAACTAAATTAATATTTAAATAATTAAATTAGGCTTTGTGTATTTAAAAAAAATTGACTTCCTGATTCTCTCCCTTCTAGCCCCTCCCCCACCTATTGAGAAGGCAAGGAATATAATATCAATTATACATATGAAGCCAGGCAAAACATATTTCCATATTAGCCATGTTGCCCCCCCCCAAAAAAAGGAAGAAAAATAAAGTAAGTGAAAAAAAGTACGTTTCAGTCATCAGGCAGAGTTCATTAGTTCTCTCTCTAAATGTAGATAGCATTTTTCTTCATGAGTTCTTTTGAATTGTCTTGTTTCATTGTATTGATTAGAGTAGCCAAGTCTTTCATGGAGTTGATCATCATTACATTACTGTTATTGTATACAGTGTTCTCCTGGTTCTGCCCACTTCACTTTTCATCAGTTCATATAAATCTTCCCAAGTTTTTCTGAAACCATCCCCACCATCATTTCTTATAGCGTAATAGTATTCCACCACAATCATATTACTACAGCTTGTTCAGCCATTCCCCAATTGATGGGCATCTCTTTAATTTCCAGTTCTTTGTCACCACAAAAAGAGCTGCTATAAATATTTTTGTACATAAGTCCTTTTTCCTTTTTTTTTAATCTTTTTGAGGAAACACACCTAGTAGTGGTGTTCCTGGGTCAAAAAGTATACACAAGGGACCGCCAGGTGGTGCAGTGGATAGAGCACTGGCCCTGGAGTCAGGAGGACCTGAGTTCAAATCAGGTCTCAGACACATAACACTTACTAGCTATGTGACTCTGGGCAAGTCACTTAACCCCAATTGCCTAACCCCCCCAAAAAAAAAGTATACACAGATTTATAGCTCTTTGAGCATAGTTTAAAATTGTTCTCTTTTTTTTTTTAGGCAGTTGGGGTTAAGTGACTTGCCCAAGGTCACACAGCTAGTATCAAGTGTTTGATCTGAGGCCAGATTTGAATTCAGGTCCTCCTGACTTCAGGGCAGGTACTCTATCCATTGCGCCACCTGGCTCGCCCGCCAAATTGTTCTCCAGAATGGTTGGAACAAGGAACTAATATTCTAGTGGGGGAAACAAGGAGATGTGTAAGTATAAACAGAACAGATATGCAGAGGATAAATACAAATAAATAAAAAATAGTTAAATAAATGGTAGTTTGAAAGGGAGGGCATTAGCACTTGAGAGTTCCATGAAAGGCTTAGTGCAGAAGGTGGTGCTTGAGCTGCATCTTGAAGACATAGAAGGATTCTATGAGAAGGGTCAGGAGGGAGTCATTTTAGACTTGGGAAGTCAGCCGGCACAAATGCATAGAAATAGAAGATGGAGTGTCATATGTGAGGAAGAGAGAGAAAACTGGTTTAGTTTGGCTGGATTGCAGAGTGTAGGAAGAGGAGTGACGTACAATGAGTCTAGAAAGATAGTTTGGGGCCAGGTTGTAAAGGGCTTGAAAACCAAACAGAGAAGCTTTTCTTTTATTCTGGAGGCGATTTGGAAGCCACTGGAGTTCACTGAGTAGAAGTCATAACATGGATAGAAGCAGTGTCCTATGGTATAAAAATTGCTATATGCCTCCAAGCAAGCAATTCAGTTCTCCTCCTCCTTTTCCTAGAATTGTTCTCCTTTCCATTGGCCCTGCCATCTCGTCTCTGAGTCAGTCCTCCACTCCCACTTCTGTGTGCCAAATGCCCCTAGGAGCTCACATATCTCTTCTCTTGGATCAGGATGTTTTCCATTGAGGCCCAAAACTCTCCTGGCATTGGTCTCATAGTCTACCAGGTCCCCCCAAATTAAATCTGTAATGAGGTCCCTGTGTCCTATCACAGCCATACACTTCTTGTCCACTGGAAATGCTCTTCAATGGGAATCCCTCCCCTACATTAGGTTGAGACCCCTTTCATTCCTTCAGGCTCATTCTTTCCCCTCTGTCACCTCTTCTCCTCCAGTCCCTGGTCTTGCCATGAGATACAAAAAGTACCACTGTCTCTTCACTGTTCACCTGGTCTTAATAAGGGTACATCACCTCTTCTCTAATGCCCATCTCCACTCTACCTGTTTATGAACCCGTTGACCCATTTTGTAATTTTATCCTACACAATACCTTTATTCACTTGTAAGGTAGAGTTATAGTGTTTAGTTTGGGGGTGGAGAACCTGTGGCCCTCTAGGTCATTAAGTGTGGCCCTTTGACTGAATCCAAAAGGGTCTTTGTTGTTCTGTGAAGTTTGGATTCAGTCAAAAGGCTGCGCTTAAGGACCTAGAGGGCCACATGTGGCCTGGAGGCCACAGGTTCCCCACCCCTGGTTTATGGCTTTCTGGTACTTTTGTTCTGCTCTTCCACCTTCACTTCTCCTGTTTCTTAAAATTTTTCTTTTAACTTTATCTCCATGTCAGTCATCTAATATTTATTAAGCAGTTACTATGTGCCAACCACTGTGTTAAGTGCTAGGAATACAAAGAAGGGCAAAAAGCAACCCCTGCTGTTAAGGAGCTCACAGTCTAATGTGTGAGACAGCATGTTAGCACCCATGTACGTAAAGATAAGATTTATATAGGATAAACTGAAAAGCTTCTTGTAGAAGGTGGGATTTTACCTGAGACTTCAAGGAATCCAGGAAAGCCAGGAGGCAGGGATGAGGAAAAGAGACTTCCGGACATGGAGGACAGGCAGTGAAAAATCAGAATCAGGAGATGGAGTTTCTGGTGCAAGGAACAGTAAAGAAGTCAGTGTCACTAGATTGCAGAGTGTGTGAGAGATGGGCAGAGTAGGAGGAAAGAAGGCTAGAAAGTAGGGCTTAAAAGCCAAACAGAGGATTTTATAGTTGTTCCTGGAGGTGAAAGGGAGCCACTGAAGTTTATTGAATAGGGGTTTGACACAGATCAGTACTTTCACAGCTGAGTAGAAGATGGACTAGAATGGGGAGAGACTTGTGACAAGGAGACCAAACAGTAGGCTATTGTGATAGAGCAGGCATCAAGTAATGAGGGCGTGCACCAGAGGGCTGACAGTGTCCAAGGAAAGAAAGGGGAACTACCGAGGGAAAGGAGGTAGGACTTGGTGACAGATTAGATATAGTAGATGAGACATGATGAATATTCAAGAATAACACCTAAGTTGTGAGCCTGAATGACTAGCAGAGTACCCTCAGCAGTAATAGGGAAGTATTAAAGAGGGTACAGATAATGGGCAAAAGATAATGAGTTCAGATTTGGACATGTTGAGTTAAATATGTCCATGGGGCACCCAGGGGCAGCTAGGTGGTACAGTGGATAGAGCACATCTTCCTAAAGTGGGTAGACTTATCTTCCTAAATTCAAATCTGTCGTCAGACACTTACTAGCTGTGTGACCCTGAGCAAGTCACTTAACTCTGTCTCAGTTCCTCATCTGTCAAATGAGCTGGAGAAAGAAATGGCAAACCACTGCAGTATCTTTGCCAGGAAAACCCCAAATGGGCTCACAAAGAGTCAAACACAACTGAACGACAACAAAATGGAGCACCCAGTTCAATATATCTAGTAGGCAAATGGAAATGCAAGACTGGAAGTACTTGGGTACTTTGTAATTACTGTATGATCTTTCTTTGTTTTCTTTTACCCTAAAGTATTATTTCTTTCTGTTTCTTAAAAAAAAATAACATCTAAACATGGAGTAATTTATTTCATTATTTATTTTTCCTTAGTAATTGTACTTACTTACATTTCTTAAGTTTCTCCTGTTTGGGTGTTTTTGCAAATTGATATTCTGTTTGAATATGCTTTTCCCCTCCAGGAATGCTTCAAATGCCTCCTCTTAAAAATATACATTTTTTTTTCTTTGATGATTAGGCTCAGGTTTTCAGTATCTGTCAATTTGGGTTGCAAATTGAACTTCTTTGATTTTTTTTGGACTATAATATTCCATTCCGTTTTTGGTTTCTAGAGAGGAAAGAATAATATTGTGTTATTACGATTTCCTTTTTCTCCACATTTGACGGTTTTCTCATTGGAGTTAATGATTCTAACCTCTGTGTATCTGGGAGTCTGAAACATAAGGTGTTTGCTGCTTCTTGTTGTTGTTTCTCCTGCAAGGAAATTTGTGATTCTTTTGGTGCTTTGTTTTCCATATTCAGAAGTACCAGACAATTTTTCTTTCGTTATTTCCTACATTATATGTTGAGATTTTTGATTTGTCATGTTCTTCTGAGAGATTCATGATCCATAAATTGTCTTTGTGCATTCTGTCTTTAAGGCCAATGCCTTTGGCATACATAAATGTGTTCTTTTAATATTGTTGCCTTTTTGCATTTGCCAGATTTTATTCAACTTCAGTATTTTTGTATTCCAGATTTACTTCTTTGGAGAAACTCTCTGCTGTGGATTCAGTTTTTTAAAATATGCTAATTGAGGTTTTCATTTTTATTTGTTATTATTTCTGCTTGGAGAGCTACAAATTCTGATATAGACTATTTCTCAATTTCTTCTCATTTCTTTTTTAAATGATTCTGGAATTTCTTGTTCTATGTTGTCTTGGGAGTCTACAGGATTCATCAAGCATTATTGGTTTTCACTTCCCCAGATCTCAGTTTGTCTGAGCAATACCCATTCAGTGATTAAAGGCTAGGTAAGAATTGAGGCAAAAGATGGCCTAGTTTGACTTCCCAAAAGAATCATTCTGGCATGGAAAACCCTCAGAGCTCCAGATTAAACTAGGATTTGAAAGCTAGTAGACTGACTTGAGGGCAGGGGGTATTATAGCATCATAAAGAATACTTTTCTTTTAAGTTCTATGTTAGATATTCATTAAAGAAACAGTTGTACTTAGCTAAGGTGGAAGTGGCCTCTGCCTCCATGTGGAAATATGTCTGTTCAGCAGGACCACACCCTCCAAAGTGTTTATTCTTGTGGTCTTGGGACATCCACCAAGTTTGAAGGGTTCATACTCCACATACATGGGTGGTCCTTTTTATGCACTTAGGTGACCAGAAAGCCATGTGTCATTATAGCCAAAGGTTACTAGAAAACTGCAACAAGGGAGGCACAAGGGCCAATTAGAGCCCCCCAAGGACAGCTTTGTAACTTTTTTTGGTAAAACTAGACTAATTCACATTGCGGGGCGGGGGGGGGTTGATTGGGAGGTGGGGAAAGCAAGGCAGCACACTGATAGATATAGATCCTGTCACAGTGATTATAAAATTATTCATAAAAATGAAATTCCTAGCAAACATCATTTTGATGATTCCTAGTACTTTGCATGAACTAAAGGAATTACAGTGGGAGGTCAAGAAATAATGTATTTGTTTCTGGTTGTGGCTGGAGCATAGAGTTTGTAAAGAGGAATGGTTTCAGATAAGGCCAAGAAGTTGGCATTTGAGTGTAAAGAGCCTTGAATGCCCAGTCAAGAAGTTTGAACTTTACCTGATAGACAATAGGGAACCAATGAATGATTCTGAATAGAAAAGTGACATGACCAGATTGATATGTATGGAAGATTAGTCTGGCAACAGCATGAAAAATGGGTTGGAGTGAGAAGATATGAAAGTTAAAAAGATCTGTGACAGGCTAGTAAATAATCCTGGAAGATGATGATGATAGCTTGTACTAGGGTAGTAGCAATAGGAGAAGAGAGGTTGGAATGGGCATGAGAGAGACTGTGAGGGTAGAATTGGAAGGACATTGTAAGTGATTAGATATAAGTGGTGAGGAAAGAGTCAAAGATAATATCAGAGCTTCCAACATGGAAGACCAGCTTGATGAAGTGGAAGAGGAAGCAGTCTAACAGAAACTGTGAAGTCAAAAAAAGAAATACATTTTCTTAAGAAGTTTAATAAGCCTATAGCCAAAGCTTCAGACACTGACTTTCTTACCTCCAGGTCCCTGCATGGGAAGAATATAGCAGATACCACATCGCTTATCAATGGGACATTGTCCAGGAATAGCATGACATCAGTCCTAATAATTGACTGTGTGTGAAGGGAATCTTCTGGCTCTATGTCATTCTCAACCATTTTGGGAATGAAGTAGAAAAATTGGAATTGAATATAAAGTAATCTCATAGGTTACTTACAGACACAGATACCCAACCCAGTCTTTCTTCTCTATAATAATAGGACCCTGAGGGCGGGGACCTTAGTCAAATAGTACTAACCATACACACTCATTGTATTACTGGCAAATTCCTTCTTCCTCCTCTTCCACTATGCGCGTAATTCATCACTAGCTGTCTAGGGAAAAGCCTCTTCCCCTGCTACCACTCACTGTTCTCACCCACATCTCCCTCAGTCCTGCTCCTCCCACGGGTCTATTCTGTTGCCCCTCCTTTCCATTGTGTCGTCTATAACTCCTATTCTGTCGTTTAACAAATGCAAGATCTTTTACCTCGTCCTTTTCCATTCCTTCCATTTTTTTTTTTTGGCACTCACAAAAAATCTGAATTCCTGGGAAGGAAAACATTCCAGGCTTAAGGGATGTGTTGGGGGGAGGAGGGAAGAAAGAGAGCCTAGGCAAAGTCATGGAGGTGGTAGATTGAATACTGTGTGTAAGGAACAGTAAGAAGTTACTTAGCTTCTCCAGGCCTCAGGTTCCTTATCTGTAACATGAGATAGTTGTACTAGATGATTTCTAAGGACCCTTCTAGCTCTAAATCTATAGTTGAACACTGTTCAAATCTAACCGTTCTTTCCTTCCATGGCCCTTGGAAGCCTTTCTCTCACATTATTGCAAGTGGCAAGTAGGCAGTAACTAGGCCTCAACATTTTAGTTCTCTTTTTCTCACAACAGTAGCCAGGTGGTGTACATTAGATTTAGAGTCAAGGAAACCTGAGTTCAAATTCAGTCTCAGACACTTACCAGCTGTGTGACTCTGGGCAAGTCACATAGTTTGCCTCAGTTTCCTCAACTGTAAAATGGGGTGATAATAACAGCACCTCTCTCTCAGGGTTGTGGTGAGGATGAAATGAGATTATATTTAGCACAGTGCCTGGTACAGAATTGGCACTATATTAATGCTAGCTATTATTAATCTCATTATAATTGTTTCTACTTCTGAATGATTGTACCACTTATACTCTCCCTCCTTCTTTATTTATGTCCCCTTTACCTGGTTTATTCATTTTTTATGCTGTCGCCTTCTGGGTGGTTTAGAATTGGAGAAAAGAAGGAGGAAGAGGCAACATTAGTATGGTATGCAGGTCACACTGTTCTTCCAGTAGTGGAGATGGCTTTGTGCCAGACATACTTGCTGACCACTTCTCCCTTAGGCCACGTTACAGTTGCAAGTCAGCCAAGCAGAGTGATGGGTTCTGTCTGGCTGTGGAATAGTGTAGCTGGCTGACGTACACAAAAACCCTTTCATTTTACATGCTTTAGCTGGCTGAGCTAACCGGCTACCCTTGTATTACATTGGAGGATTGTGATGTCAGGTGGAGAATGATCAGCCCAAACAAAGACCTAAGCAACAAATTCCTTCAGTTGCCTTTAGTGGTAGAACATTAGGAAGTGGAATGTATCGGCACTAACGTGAATTTTGGTTAAATGAATGTATTTGTTTTCAAGAGTATATGTGAGAGGCCTCTGAGCTCTTCAGAGTATGTTTGTTAGAGGCTTGAAGTGGGGTGGGAAGCTATTTTTTAAAAGGCCATCAATACGTTCTCTTCTGAGGGAGTTTTTTGTTCTTATGAATTGAATTCATTCTCTGAAAAGTTTTTAAATGAGGTTGTGAAGAATGTGTTAGCTTTGATCCAGTGTAAAAACTGTTTCCCACTATAATTTTTCGCTTCATTTTATAAACATTGTAGAAAGTCTTCTCTCTGATTGAAAGTGCATAAAAACATAATTTGTAGCTAAATTTTAATTCATCATTTACATCTACTATGCCGATGTATTTTTCTCTGCATAATGAAATGAAAGATTTCAGGTTTGATACCTCCCAAAAGGTTGTTACAGTAGCCATTATTAAGAATACACAGTATTCTTTATTCTAAGCTGAAAACCTTGCTACGGCCAGGGAAAATCCCAGATTTTTAAATCTTATACGGAATTGTTTTAGACGCTGTTACTTGGTTTGCTATTGTAACATAAAGAGGAAACCTTGCAGTTCATTTAAGAAGTGCTTATTTATTTTCAGCCGTGTCTTGTTTAAACAAATAAATCTACATTAAGGCCATAACTGATTTCAAATCCTCCTATCCTTTCTTTCTTCCCTACCCCACCCCCCACCAGTGGCAAGTGTGGGAAATAAACAAGATATACAGTTAGTCAGTAAGCATTTATTAAAGTCCTAATTCTGTGCTAAGAACCCAGGGTACAAAGAAAGGTAAGAACATTGTCCCTGCCCTTGAGGAGCTCACATTCCAGTGGGGGAGGCAACTTGTGAATAACTATGAATATGCAAGATATATAAAGATTAAATGGAAGGTAATCTCTGAGGGAAGGCACTAACAATGGGGGGACCCAATCAGGAAAAGCCTCTTCCGAAAGGTGGGATTTGAGCTTGAAGGGAGCCAGGGAAGTGAAGCAGCAGAAGTGAGAAGAGAGAGAACATTCCAGGCATGAAGGACAATCAGTACAAAGGCATGGAGTCAGGAGCTGGAATGTGGTGTGTGAGGAACTGCAAGGCATCTCATGTAGCCAGATTGTAGAATTCATGGATGAGAACAGAAAGGAAGGTTTCATTCTAGAAAGTTTGTGAAGAATTTGGATGCCAAGCAGAGGCCTATATTTGATCCTGAAAATAATAAGAAGCCACTACATCTGAGTGGGAAAACAAGGAAGATTGGGGGGTGGAGGAATGGTGATATGGTCAGATCTATACTTCAAGAAAATCACTTGGGAAGCAGAGTGGAGAATGGGTTGGAGTGGGGAGAAACTTGAAGCAGGGAGATTAATTAGAAGGCTATTGCAATAGTCTAGGCAAGAGGTGATAAGGACCTATATTAGAATCATGGCTATATGGGTACAGAGAAGGGATCCTATGAAAGAGATGCTATGAAGATAGAAACTGATTGAATATGTGAAATGAGAACATATGAGGAGTAGAGGTTGATACTAAGGTTCCATTACAAGCCTGGGTGATGAAGGATGGTGGTAGAGAGAAAGGTCTAAGGAAAAGATAATGATTTCTATTTTGAATACGGTGAGTTTGAAGTGCCTATAGGCCATTCAATTTGAGATGTCCAAAAGGCGATTGATGATGCAGGACTGTAGCTCAGGAGAAAAAAGATAGGGCTGGATATGTAGCTCTGGGATCATTTGCATAGAGATGATAATTGAATGCAATAATGAGATATTAGAAAATGAGAGATACCAGACAGTGCTAAAGCTATCTGGATTTATGTATAGGGTCCTTAACTGATTCTGAGCTAGCAATACTATTCCCAAGATAGGCTATGAACAACATCAAAAATGTTTTCTCTGAAATTATGCATGGTAGATATAACTAGCTGTAAATATGACTCAAATACCTCCTGCAAACAGGGAAATCCATGGAAAGGGCTCTTTTGTGGAAATCTACTTCTTTTGTAGTTAACAGAAGATAGGGGAAACTTTGATGATGTTTTTTTCTTGGAGGCCCAGCATTTAATTTTAGGTCATTGATTGTGAGGAATTATGAGCAATCCAATGTAAACACACAAAGCCCTTGTTTATAGTCTTGAGGGGGTTTTAGAAAGGGTTGAGTACCCTATAACCCACGTTGAATACTATTATTGAGATCCTGGAGGTAATTTTCACTCTATAGTTGTAAAATTAGCATCATCTCAAGAGTGAAGGTAAAAGGTTTAGTGTCAAAAGCAGCCTTTCTTCTTTTTTTAAAAAAATTGATTTTGATGATAACTTGTTTTTACAATTGACTATATTTCTTCCTATATTTATATTTATATTTACAATTGACTGTATTTCTTATTCCTCCCCTACTCAAAGAACCATTCTTTATAACAAATAACTTTTAAACAAGAAATAGATTAAGGGGGAAAAATTCAGTAAAACAGATCAACACATTGAAAAAGTCTGATGTTCTTTGCAATATTCCGCAACCATGGCCCCCAACTTCTGCAGAAGAGTGAGAGGAAGTACTTTCTCATATCTCTTCTTTAGGACCGAGCGCGTTCTTTAGAATTATACAACATTTCAGTTTCAGTTGTTTTGTGGTGGTTGTTCTTTCCATTCACATTGTTGCAATCCTGTATACTGTTTCTCTGGTTCTGCTGATTTCATTTTGCATCAGTTAATGTGAGTCCTTCCATTTTTCTCTTTATTATTATAATTTATTCCATTAAATGTGGATCTCATGCTCATCATTTCTCACAACACAGTAGTATTATTTTCAAACTGCTCTTTCCCAAGTTACCAAGAATCCTTTGATTGCCAAAGCTAATGACCTTTTCTCAATTCTCATCACCCTCTTCCTCTTGAAACTCTTTTCTCTCTAGGTTTTTGTTGCACTCCTGTATCCAGGTTCTCCTGCTACTTGTCTTACTGCTCCTTCTATGTCTTCTTTGTTGAATCTTTATCCAGGTTATGCCTGCTGATTCTGGGTGTCCCACAGAACTCTGCCCTGGGCCCTCTTTTCTTTTTCTTCTGTACTATTTTACTTAGTGATCTCATCAGTTCTGATAGATTCAACTGTCATCTCTATGTTGACAATTCTCTAATCAACTTATCTAGCCCTAACCTCTTTCCTGACCTCCAGTCTCATATTTCTACCTGTCTATTGAACATCTCAAATTGGATGTACTATAGATATCTTAAACTAACATGTCCCAAATTGAACTCATTATTCCACCCACCTACCCACAAGCTCTCTCCTATTCCCTATTACTATCAAGGGTACCACCATCCAGTCACCTAGCCTGACAACCTTGGTGTCATCTTTGATTCCTTACTGTCATTTCCCAAAATCCAATCTATTGCCAAGGCCTACCAATTTTACCTTTTTAACATCTCTTATGTTTGCTTCCTTCTGTCTTCTGACGCTGCCACTACCCTCATGCAGGCTCTCATCATTTCACTTTTATACTATTACAATAGCTTCTATTTGGTCTCCTTGCTAATGATCTTCTTGAAGCATAGGTCTGACCATGTCTTTTTCTCTCTCCCTCCCCCCACACACACACACACACACACACACACACACACACACACACACACATACACTACCACCATTGCCACCCTCTACTTAGTAAACTCCAGTGGTTCCTTATCACCTTTAGAATCAAATATAAAATCCTGTGATTTTTAAAGCCCTTTGTAACCTGCCCTCCCCCTACCTTTGCAATATTCTCATACCTTACACCTTCCCACTCCCAAATACTCTGAGGTGCAGTCACACTGGCCTCCTTACTGTTCCTTCAACAGGACACTGTATCTTCCTATTCTGGGTATTTTCACTGTCTGTACACATGCCTGAAACACTGCTCTCCCTGCTCATCTCCTTCTCCTGGTTTCCCTGGCTTCCTTTAAGTCCTAGCTAAAATTTCACCTTCTACAGGAAGCCTTTCCTAAAACTGTACTGACATAATTTGATCTTTCTTGAGATTTCAGAGATAATTCAAAATGTTATAGTGCTTCCAGGTCATTATTATGAACTAATTTTTCTATATTGTATTATAGAATATATTATATATTGTATATTATTATAATATATTATATAACATATAATAATATATTATATAATAATATATACTATAATATAGTTATAGATTTGATTGTATTTAAATTATTTGAAAATTGATCATGAAACTCAAGTATGGTAAATTCTTAAACTAAACATTCAGGTTTAGCACCTAAAATTTATGAAATAATCTACTTTGTGCAAGACACTACACTGTATGGGAATGCCAGATGTCAGAAATAGCCTTGCCATTTAATTGAGGAAATGACATATAAAGATAATAACCTATTCCAAGTACCAAATGAGTACAGTCCTACACATAGGACCACACCAACACAAATGCCCTTTAAGGTTGTGTATAACCTCTTCTTTGGCAGTCAGAAACAACATGTTGATTTCAAAGATTATAGAATTTCAGAGTTGGAAGGGACCATAGTGGCCTCCTAGTCTAATTCAGACCATGCTAGGGTTTCTGAGGGGTGGAGATGAAGAGGGAATATATCCCAGGCATGGGGGAAAACCTGGGCAGAAATACCAGAGACAGGAGATGGAATGTTATGTGTGAATCAGAAGGAGTCCTATATGGGTAGACCATAGAGTGTGCAGAGATTTATGGGTAACAGATCTGGAAAATGATGCTGGAGCCATATGATGAAGGAATTTAAATGCCAAACAGAGAAGCTTATATTTGATAGAGGAAATAGGGGGAGCCATGGTAACTTCCTAAGACAGGGTTGTGACGTGGTCGTAACTATGTTTTAGAAATA